ACCTGTTATCGGGGTGGCCCTCACTCACCCCAATGGTGGAGGCCATGTAGTCTGCACACATCTCTGCAAAGTCCCGTTCCAGGACCCCATAGTAAAGACCATAGAAGAGGAGAGAGATGCCAAAGTCCATCGCGTCTTCTGGTTTGATTCTACAACACACGACACCAAGAGCTTTGCTGCAGGATTAGGGTTAGGCACATCCTCTCCAAAGAAGCCCTCACTTAACAGTTCCACGTCCCTGTTGGCTGCTGCCAGGTCTGTTCATTAGTCAAGAAGAAATTAATCTCTCTGAAATGAAAGCTGGCTTGGGATAAGGCCCGTTGCTACTGCCAGACCAGACCTGAGCTGCAGGTTTATTGGAGAAGCAAAGAACACCTCACTACTGCCCCCAGGCTGGAGAAGCACAGAGCAGGAGGGAGCTGCCAGCAGCTGGAAGCACAGCTCCCCATCGGCATCTCACCACGACCCCATCCATGGGGAAAGGACACCCCAGAAGTCTCTCTTTGGCCTCCTGCCCCATTCAGCAGTTGGCTTTGACCCCGTTCCCCGTGGTTTGCCACATCCCCCAGCACTCACACCCAAAAGATTCGCTCACCTGAACAACAAGTTCAGACCAAACAGGGTGAACATCACAGCCATGTACCCCACGATTCCAGTGGCGTAGCTCATCTTGTATATTAGCAGAAACCACTTATAAACCAGCCTGCAAGAATTCAAAACAAGCTGCTGACCATTTCCCCCCCCCAAACGAACAGAACCGTTTTAATTTCCAAGTTAGGGATTTCAACAAAATGCGGCATCAGAGGTCGGGAATTGAATTCAAGCTACAGATCTGCCTCTGCCCCGGCAGCTCCCAGTCCTTGGATTCCCAAAGCAGAAACTTCAGACTACGATTTGGGGCAGTGAAACCTGAAAGGACTCCTTGCAGTGCTCACCCCGGGGCTGAGCTTTCCCCACAGCTGCGTCCACTCACCTGGGTGTCGTCTGCACCAGGGGTTTCCGAGTGGCCCTGAAGGTGACAAAAGCTGTGACTGCTGAGAAGAGCACCCAGACGACCAGGAACCGCCACCAGTACAGTTTTATCGTGAAATACAGAGGCACCACCCACATCTGGAAGAGGGTGACCATCTGCAGGAATACAAGAGAGGCACGTCAGGGCGACTCACAGCACCCGGGGCTCTCCAACAGGAGGACAGGCTGGGTTTACGTTTCACACAGGGCTCCAGGCACCGCCTGGAAACACGGTAAGGAAGCCACGAGGTTTGCTTCCCTGCTCCAGGCACAGCCCTGATGCCTCTCTGCATCTCCTCGAAAGCAGCACGTGAAATCAGCCCCATCTCTGGCCCTGCTGCTAAAGCACCACATCAAAGCCCTGGCTGACACTTACGTTATAGGAGCGAGGGTGCCTCTGCTTCCACTGAACCAGCAGGAGCTGCGCCACCACCAGCGTGGCGATGAGGATGAGGACCATTTCGGCGTGCATGGCCTCGTGGCCACGGTGCTTGGCGTGCATCAGTGCGTGTTCCACCCTGCAGCAAGAGGGAGGAGGCAGATAAAGAGCAGGAGGGCACAGGGCAGGCGAAGGGCACGGCAGGGCTGCCCGCATTGCTGGAAAAAGGGAGAAGGGCAGCCCTGCAAGTCGCTCCGTGGATCTTAAAGATCAGCCAGCCCACCCCAGCTGCAGCCTAGGCAACCCCAGCTCCGCGCAACCCGCGACAAGTGATGGCCACAGAGCGGTTCTCTGCTGACACCTGTGGTTTCCTGCATGCAGCGCTGCCTGGCCGCAAGCCAGGGCGGAATGAGGGCGTGCAACAGCCTGAATCCACGGTCTTAAAGCCAAAAAGATGGGTCTGGTTAGGAAAGAAATCCCAATCCAACAGGCAAGGCCAATTCTCTGATCTCCAGGAACCGTCAAGAAGTTGATAATGAGAGCAGATGAGCCCAGCGGGCTTCTCAGCAAGCGTCTGCCCGACGTTGGCCGGGCCAAGAGAGAAGGTGGGATAAGCAGCGAGCACTGTGAAGGTCAAACATTAGCACTGCCTTCTTAAAGAGGCCCCCTGCTCCCCTCCAGCAAAAAGCACCACGTGGGTGAAGGCTGAAGGCTTCCTCTGCGCTCTCAGCTCTGCTCCCAGCACAAACTCACCTCCATCTCTCTTCTGGGGACAGGTGTGAAAGGTCGACCTAAGGAGACAAAAAATACAACAGCAACGTTGGAGCAGCAATGGCAATCTCGAGGGTTGGCTGCTTTGCTGTCCTTATGTCCCCAAACACACGAGCATGCTGCAGGAGCTGCACACTGCTCACAGAAACTCAATCCCTGCAGGTAGCAGCAAATGGCAAAGCTTCTGCCTGAGACCTCAGGGACGCTTCTGAAATACGAGGAGGAAACTTCTGAGCCCAGGACTTGGAAAGGGGGGGGGGGGGTGGGAGGGGGAACCTCTGACTCTGCCTTCCACCTTCCTCACAGGGCTTTTTCAACCTCTGCCTTAAAACCAAAGCACCAGGTCACCTCCCTGCACTGCTTTCTCAGCGCTCAGACGGCTGTGAGAAGTCACGGCAAGGACTCTGCTATCAGGCTCCAGCACCACACCTACACAAGGGCACAGCTCCAACCTTTGTCCCCAGGGCTACGGCACACAGCTCCGGGCTCAGGTGCCACGCTTCCCTTCTGCTCCTTAATTGTCTTAATTGTCCCCAGGCAGGAAAAGGCACAGCCCACAGCAAGATGCCAGCAGCAGCACCTCGTCCCCAAGCAACAGCCACGGGAGACGCGGTCTCTGCAGGTGAAGGATGCAGATCTGTGAGATGCCAGGGCTCTCCTCTGAGCTTCCTGACTTGCTGAAAGAGTCACTGCTCTGCCTCTAACAAGCTGTGCAGCCTGCTGTCAGCACAGCAATCACTCTCATGTTGTGGATGCCCCATCCCTGCAGGCATTCAAGGCCAGGCTGGATGTGGCTCTGGGCAGCCTGGGCTGCTGGTTGGTGATCCTGCACACAGCAGGGGGTTGGAGCTGGATGAGCGCTGTGCTCCTTTGCAACCCAGGCCGTTCTGTGATTCTGTGAGAAGGAAACAGATGGAAACAAAACGCTCAACTCGAGTCGGATCTGATGATCCTCGTGGGTCCCTTCCAATTTGGGATACTATAGGATTCTAACTCCCTGCAAGCCAGAGGTTCTATGAAATCACAGCCTCTTACAGGTGTGTGTGGGCTCCTGACAGCCCCAATCCTGGCAAATCTCTCCCCAAACTGACCCAGCACTCCCAAGGCTCCAACCCAACTTTCCAGTTCAGAATAAAAACACCAGCACCTGGCCAACGCTACGACCCTGTGCTGCGTGCAGCTGCTGGGACGGCGTGGGGAATGCACCCTGGATATAGAGCTCTGCCCCCATCCTCTCCCCACACACAGCACCGTGGGCTCGGAAGGAAACTCCTGTGCTACTCCCCAAAGCCACCACAGACCCGATGCTCAGCTCAGGGAACCACCTCCCTCTGGGGAAGGGCCACAACCGGTGCTTCACAACGCAGCAGCAGCACCAAAGAGCTCCAAGGCTGCAGGACGGGGTGAGCATCCAACTCTGCTCGGTGCAGGACAGGAATCTCCTTCCTGAGGACCACAGCTCAGGGAAAGCAGCTGTGTGGAAAAGGACCTGGGGGCCAACAGGGTGACCACAAAGCAGCAGCGTGTCCCCATGGCCAAGAGGGACAGCGATGTCCTGGTTGGCCAAGGGTTGGTCAACAGTTGACCACAGGCTGACCTGTGAGGCAACAGTTTGTCATGGTGGCCAAGAAGGCCAGTGGTTCCCTGGAGGGCAGTGCACAGAGCTTGACCAGCAGAGCAAGGAGGTTCTCCTCCTTTCTATTCTGCCCTGGAGGGGCAGGGGGCCACACCTGGAGTACTGCAACCAGTGCTGGGCTCCCCAGCTCCAGGCAGACAGGGAACTGCTGCAGAGAGCCCAGTAAGGGTGAGGAGATGCTGGGGGCCTGGAGCAGCTCCTGATGGGGACAAGCTGAGCACTCCAGGGTTGAGCACCTGGGGGAGAGAAGGATGAGATGGGATCTGATGGATGCTGGTCAGTATCTAAATGGCAGGAGTCAGAAGGATGGAGCTGGCTCTGCTCAGCAGCACTCAGTGTCTTCTGCCTTTGCACTAAGCCACATTTCTCAGTGCCACGTTCACATGGCTCATAAAAACTTCCAGGGACACAGCTGCCCCCATTGCCCTGGGCAGCCTCTTGCAACGCCTGGCCGCTCTTAGGAAGAAGAAGTTATCCAAAATGCCCACCTTGACTCTCCATGGCACAAACTGAGGCCCTCCCCTCTCACCCTGTTGATCTGCTCAGCACACAGAGAATCCCCAGAGCCCAGCGCAGCCCCCAGAGCCCAGCGCAGCCCCCCCAGAGCCCAGCGCAAACCCCAGAGCCCAGCGCAGCCCCCCCAGAGCCCAGCGCAGCCCCCTCAGAGCCCAGCGCAAACCCCAGAGCCCAGCGCAGCCCCAACATCTGAGACCCTTGACTCAAAGCCCCAGTTTTCTGGGGACACCCACAGCTCCCCCCCTCCCACAGCACCTCTACCCCATCAGCGCCCGTGGCACAGAGCGCACAGGAGGGCACTGCCCTCCTCTCACGGCTCTCTGAAGGCTCCTTCGCTCTGCAGCTTCGCACCTCGGCCCCAAGGTAACCGCGGGACCCCCGCAGACCCCCCGAGGGCCACCCCACAGCCGCCGTTCCTCAGCGTCCCCTTCAGTCCTGCCACCCCACGGGCCCCCATAGGCCCTATGACCCTCCCAGGTCCTCCCCGCCCTTCCTGAGCCCCCACCTCCTCCGCCTCGCGCTCTCCTGGGCCGCCAACCTCCACCTCCAGCACGGCCGCCATCTTGCTGCCCCCCCCACCTCCCGCCAGCTCCTTCCGCCGCCTTCGTCCAATCACCGCCCACCTCGCCGGGCTTCCTTCCAATCGCTGCGCTCGGCGCTCGGCCGGCGGCCAATCAGCAGCGAGAGGGGGCGGAACGGCTGTCAGAAGCGCTGCTTCGCGCTGTCAGAATCGGGGACCGTCGCTCATTTCCGCTCCCGGTGAGAGGCGCACGGCCGTGCTGGCAGCGCGATGCTCTCACGTTTCTCCGTAGGGAACGCACACGGCGGACGGTCCCTTCCCCGAGAGGTGGCGCTGCGGCGCTGCCGAAGGACTCCATATCCCATCGTGCACCGCGGCAGGGTGTGCGGGGAGGGCTTGAGTACGGGCGGAAACCGGAACCGGAAGCTGGTCTTCGTGTCCAATGGGAGGGCCCGAGCGGAAACGGGAAGCGGGAAGAGGACGGAGTCTTTGGGGATGCCTGGGGCGGGGCCGGAGCCGGAAGTGAGTCGCGGGATCAGAGGTTAAAGGTCAGGAGCCGTGTAGTTTAGGCGGGAGTTTCAGGTGGGAGTTGTGCGGAGGGGCCTGGAGGGGGTTGTTGGCGAAGGGGCTGTGATGTGGGGCTGGGGGTGTGCAGGATATAGGATGCACGGCTGTGGGGCGCTGGGAGCTGGGTGGGGCTGGGGGTGGGATGGGATGGGATGGGGAGATGTGGGGTGCGAATGGGGAGTGGGGCTGGGGGGCTGCGTGTGGTGTGGGCCTTGAGGAGCTGTGGGGTGTTGAGTAGGGCTTGGGGTGGAATGAGGGGTGTTTGGGGTGGAACTGAGGGCTTAGTGGGGCTGGGGAGGGCTAGGGGATGGAAATGGGGCACACTGAGTGTTGAACGGGGCTGGGAGGCAGTGTGGGGGCGCAGCTCCCACCCACTGCTGCTTTTCCCTTCCAGCCCCACGAGCTGACCCTGCAGGACGGCGCCAGATGGCACCAGTGAAGATCAGCCACATCGTGTCCTTCTCCTCCCAGGTCTGTGCTTGCAGGCTGTTGTGGGGGGCATGGAGCAATCCGTGTGTCATTCCATCCCATAAGGGCATGGAGCTGAGCAGCACTGTGCTGTTTCCCCCTCCTACAGGACCCCCGGTACCCAGTGGAGAACCTCCTGTCCCCCGATGGCCATCGGCCCTGGCTCAGCTGCCCCCAGGAGCGCAGCCGGCAGCTTAGGGTGGAGCTACAGCTGGAGAGAGCCGTCCCCATCGGCTACATCGACATTGGTATGAGGATGGGGGGCTCAGGCTGTTGGGTGGGAATGAGCGTCCTCCTCTCGTGCCCTTTGCAGGGGCTGCCGTGAAGGGTTGATGCTCGTGGTGGGTCAGGATTGCACAGCAGATGTGCTTCAAGCCCTGGGAGGAGCAGTGGGTGCTCCTCAAGCCCTGAATTTCATTCCCTGGGCTTTTATTCAGGGAACTGGGGCTGCGCCTTCCTGCACATCGAGGTGGGTCGCTCCTCGTGGCCTCTTGACCGCCCCTACCTCACCCTGGTGCCCAGCGTCACGCTGATGACACCGGCCGACTCCAAGCTGGACCGCAACCGCTGCGGCGTCCGCATGTTTAAAGAAGGTAAAGTTGAACCCGTCCTCTCCGAGAGGTCGAGCGGAGAGAGGTTGCGTGGGGCTGCCCCGTAGCCCTGTGCCCTCCAACGACCCCACAGCAGATTTCCTGGAGCTGGCAGCGGGGCAGAAGTGGGACCGCCTGCGGCTCACCTGCAGCCAACCCTTCCGTCACCGCGGGCAGTTTGGGCTCTGCTTCGTCCGCGTGCGCACATTGCTGGAGCCCGAGCTGTGCCACCATGCAGCGGTAGGTTGACGTGGGACCGGGGCTTCTTTTCCAGCCCCACAGCAGTGGGGAGCACAGAGCAGATGTTGGGATGTTGCCTCGTCCTGCAGGAGGACGCTGAGCTCATGGGCAGCCCCCAGCGCTCCAACCCTGCCTCCTTGTGCCGGATTCCCTCTGCAGAAGCACGCCTGTGAGTAGCCCTGGGGTTGGGGTCGGGGTGTGGGGCTGAAGGATGGATGTGGGGTGATCATGGGGGTCTGCTTTGCCTCGCTCTGAGTCAGCATTTGCGGGGATCTGGGCTCTGAGTTCTCCATGTCAGCACGGGTTCACCAGGGGGAGGTCGTGTTTGACCAACCTGGTGGCCTTCTGTGATGTTGTCTCTGGCTGGGTGGATGGGGGCAGAGCAGTGGATGCAGTCTGCCTTGATTTCAGCAAGGCTTTTGATGCTGTCCCCCACGACATCCTTATAGCAAAGCTGAGCAAGTGTGGGATGGATGAGTGGACAGTGGGGTGGGTTGGGAGCTGGTGGGTTGAGTGCAGGGGGTCGGAGGCGGCGGTGCAGAGTCCGGTTGGAGGCCTGTGAGCAGTGCTGCTCCTCAGGGCTCGGTGCTGGGTTCAACATCTTCATCAATGGCCTTGATGAGGGGATGGTGGCCACCCTCAGCAAGTTTGTGGTGATACGAAGTTGGGAGGATTGGCTGCAGGCCGTGCTGCCATTCAGCGAGAGCTGGACAGGCTGAGAGCTGGGCAGGAGGAAACCAGATGGGGTTTAACAACAGCAAGTGTGGAGTCTTGCATCTGGGGAGGAATAACGGCGTGCAGCGGGACAGGATGGGGGATGAGAGGGAGCTGGGTGTCCTGGTGGACGCCAGGTCGGCCATGAGCCAGCAGTGTGCCTTGTGGCCAAGAGGGCCAGCGGCAGCCTGGGCTGCATTGAAAGAGCGCGGCCAGCAGGTGGAGGGAGGCGGTGCTCCCCCTCTGCTCTGCCCTGCTGAGGCCTCACCTGGAGCCCTGCGTCCAGTTCTGGGCTGCCCAGCACCAAACACACAGGGAGCTCTTGGGAACAGAACAGCGCAGGGCCACCAGGATGGCGAGGGGCCTGGAGCAGCTCTGCTATGGGGCAAGGCTGAGTGAGCTGGGTCTGTGCAGCATGGAGGAAAAAGGCTGAGAGGGGAGCTGATCCAGGGCTGTCAGCATCTGAGGTGTGGGGGCAGCACGGCGAGGATGGGCTCTGATCAGTGGGGAGTGGAGGCAGGAGGAGGGGAAACGGCCGGGAACTGAGCATAGGAAGTTGTGCAGCACTGTGCGAAGGAACGGCTGTGCAGTGAGGGGAGGAGCGATGGAACAGCATGCAGGGAGGGGGGAGTCTGTGGGTCACAACAGGTCTCTGTGGGTCCCAATGGGTCCCAACGTGTCTCTATGGGTCCCAACGTGTCCCTATGGTCCCACTGCTCCCTGCAGCAGGCTGCCCAGGGAGGTGGTGGAGTCTCCTGCTCTGGAGATGTTCCAGACCTGCCTGGATGCCGAGCTGTGCGACCTGCTGTAGGGAACCTGCTTTGGCAGGGGGTTGGACTGCATGAGCTCTGCAGCTCCCTTCCAACCCCTACAGTTCTGTGATCCCTCCCTGTGTCAGAGGTGTCCCCCAGCCCTGGGGGGCACAGGGAAGTGGGGTCAACGATTCTCTGCCCCCAGGAGCTCACAGGAGGAGGAGCAGCTGAAGAGCAGCTTGCAGCAGCTGGAGCCCAGTGCTGCATCCCATGCCTGGAGCCCAGCCCGTCTCAGCCGCCCGGCACGCATGGTGCTGTCAGCAGCGCAGAGCCGTGCCGTGAGGCCTCCACCCCGAATTATTGCCAGCCACCCGGAGAGCAGCACAGAGCAGGGACAGCCTGCAGCACAGGGTGAGTGAGGGCCTCAGCGCTGTGCCCCGCTGAGAGCTCAGGCGAGGGGATCTGTGGATCTGGAGGAGGGATCCTGGCTCTCCTGGCAGCCAGGGTTCAGCCGGGCAGGGTAGGACGTGTCTTGAGAAAATGGTGGAGGTCATGTATGAAGGAAGGATCTCTTCTTGCTCTCCTGCAGGTGCAGCATTGGAAGTCCCAGCAGCCCCCAAGCGCGCCCGCAGGCAGTCAGGCAGCAGGCAGAGAGCTGGCAGAGCTGTGGGCAGGTAATGGATCTCTGCGTCGCTCTGCTCCTCCCACCCTCACTCTGATTTTGCTGCTTTGAATCCTTCAGAGCTGCTCCCTTCCCTGCACCCGATGTGCTTGGGATCCAGCAGCTCCCTCTCTTGCTTCCCTGCACATCCTCACCCCCACAACCCCTCCACCACCCAGGTCCCCTCAGCCTCTCACCAGGAATCCTGGGCCAGGAAGGAGAGCGAGAACGCAGGGCCGCAACGCGAGCGGAGGGGAGAGCAGCGGTGGGGAGATGGCTCTGTGCCCTATTTGCTCAGGTGGGTGCTTGGAGAGGTGGGCACGAGCACGGAGCAGCGATGGGGGCTCAGCCCCAAGCTGTGGCACGACCTCCTCTCCACCCCCATCCTCACAGGTTCCTTCAGCACAGCGCTGCTCCCCGCTCACGCCTCCCGCTGCGGCGAGGAAGAATCCGACCCCGAGGTGGAGCTGCTTTCCTCTGCCAGCAGCCCGGTGCTGTGCCCCATCTGCGGGCTCTGCTTCAGCTCAGCAGAGGTGGAGCAGCACTGCAGCACCTGTGGGGAGTGATGGACCCCCCCCAACAAGCAATGATCTGCAGAGAGAGACTCGGCCCCACTGGGCTCTGGGGCTCTGGTTTGTGGTGCTCATTCAATTCTGCCCCTCGTGGCACGAGCTCAGCGCAGGAGAGGAGGCAAAAGGGCCAGGGGGCTGAAGGAAGAAGCCACATGGCTGCTGCTGCTCCCATCACTGAACCACTCAGCAGTGTGAACTGGGACCAGTAGATGTGAGCATCTGACTATGGGGGGGGGGAGTGATCACCTCCCTCCCAGTGACACAGTGCAGGGTGTAGGGAACGTGGGGCTGATGGTGGCCCTGCGGGTGGAGTTTTAGGGCAGGCTGCAGCTCCTGGAGATGGGAGGAGTTGAGAGAGAGAAATAAAGGAGAGAAAAGAGAACTGCTGTGGGTGCAGCGTTGCCTGGAGGGGATGGGGTGGGCACGAGGGGGAGGAGGAGTGAAAGAAGATAGGGCAAAGTGTGGCACAAAGCCCACGGTACTGAATCAAGCTGCTCCTGGCCCCAGTGCTGGGGGCAGTACAGAAACACCAAGCTTGGAAAAGACCTACAAGATCATCCAGTCCAACCATCCAACGGTCACCACGTGGTTTAGTGAGAACCAGTCACCAAACCCTCGCACAAAAGCTTGAACTCCTTGAACCCGCGGCGCTGCTCCTGCCCGTAGAAACAGGACTCCAACAGCAGGAGAAAAATACAATTTATTTACAAGTAGAAACACTTTTAAAAAGGTCTCCTCCCCCCCTCCACGAGGGCAGCAGGGAGCCAGGGTCCCTCGAGGACTGATGGCACCATCCCATTCCCTCTGCCCCGCGTGCCCCACAGCGGTCCCGAGTCCCTTTGGTGGCGCTGAGCTGGGAGGCAGCAAGGAGGAGCGAGGAGACAGGCTGGGAAACCTCAGAACTTGGTGTCCTTCAGCGCTCTGCGGCCGGCCTGCAAGAGAGAGGAGGGGGTGAGGGATGGCCACCCCGCAAAGGGGGCTCAGGAGGTGCCCCCCAAGCTGCCCACCTTGCCCTTGGGGGACTTGGCGGAGGCGATGCGGGGCGAGCGGCGCGCCGTGCCGCGGGGGGAGTTCTTGGGGGTGGTTTTCCTGTTGGCAGCTCGGCGCAGCAGGCTGTTCCCCAGCTTCTTGGGGGTGTTGAGGATGCTGAAGGCCATCGACTGGCGCCGTTCAGGCTGGGAGGAAGAGGAAGGACGGCGAGGGGCTCGGGATGGGCCAGGGAGCTCTGGCTCTCCTTCCCGACGTCCCTCTGAGCCGCCCACCTGCTTGCTGGGCGCCTGCTGCTCGCTCCGCCGGCTGAGGTGGGAGCTGCGCCGCTCCCGGGGGGTCTGGGGACGTGGGAAGCAGCTGACAGGCTTCTTGGACTGGGAGAGAAGCAAGAGAGAGATGAGTGGGGACGTTCAGCTGGGAAGCGGGATCGCAACCCAGGGGGCAGAGCTGGGACGGGAGCGGGGAAAGTCAGAAGGGCTCGGAGCTGCACCAGGGGAGTCTCCATGGCCAGCAGCATGCGGCACTTCGCACCCTGATCTTCGGGGTGCGACGCCGAGGGTTCTCCGCTCACCTCAGGGGTTTCGGGGCCCTGGTGGGATTCGTCTGAGAGCCGTTTGCGCTGCTGCCTGGTGGTGATGCCACCGGGAGCCCAGCCCGCTCCCAGCGTGCCGCGGCGGGCGGCCGTCCCCTCGGCGATCTGCGAGGGCTGCATGCTGGCGCGCCGCAGCGTCTCCGTCGGGTCGCCCGTCTTCATCTCCTCATCCGTGATGGTGCCCAGCAAGTCAGAAGGCTGCAGGGGTGGGGAGGAAGAGCGGGAGTCAGGAGCTGCACGCAGCTGGGTGCGGTGGGATGGGGTGGTTGGGTGCCCCCGTTACCCGGCTCTCCAGAGGGTAGCAGGTCTTGAGGTGCGGCGGGCAGGCGCGGTTGCGCTGCTGCAGCTCGGCGATGCGGTTCCAATCGTCCAGCTGCTCCGGTTCATCCTGACACGTCCCCAAGTAGATGCTGCTGCGACCTGAAAGCAAAACGGGGAGAATTGAAGAGGGGCAGCCCCGCGTTTAGACCAGGATACAGCTCCGCACCCAGCTGGCCCCGCTCACCCAAGCTGGAGCTGCTGCCCGCCTGAGAGCGTCGCAGGGCGCTGCGTGTGGCCGGCCGGTAGCCGGGGAGGCTGAGCAGCGCAGCGTGGCCTGATGGCTCCTGAGGAGAGGAGGTGTCCAACTTGGTCAGGGAGTCCTGCGAGGAGAAGCTGGCCAGGGAGCGTGCAGAGCGCAGCCGGGAACGCGCCGGGGCGGCTTTCTGGGGCTGCTCGGAGAGGATGCTGCTGAAGGACGCGTCCGCGCCGCCCGGCTCCTCCATGGCGGTCTCTTTCTGGCAGAAGGAAGAGGGGAAGAGTGAGGTGATGCAGCAGACCCCCAGCCCAGCGTTTGGCTCGGCCCCGCTCACCTTGGTCATGGTGATGTTGATGATCTGCGTGGTGCGGCGGCGCCCCGAGCGCGTCCTGCAGCCCGACTCCAGCGAGACGTCGCCCAGAGAACCCGCGCTGCTCTCCAGCTTGGGCTGCGTGCGGCTGGCGATGGGTGTGAAGTAGAGGCTCTCCAAGGACTCCACCTTGCGTGGCAGCCGCTGTGACGTGCGTGGCTCTGCGCCATCTGGCACGGCTGAGCCGTCCGAGTGTGAGCGGGTGGCTTTCCTGCAGGATGCGGCACGAGGGCTGAGCGTGGGGCTGAGGGGCAAAGCGGGGCTGGGGGCTGCACGAGGCCACAAGGCAGCACCGTACCTGGTGGAGTTGAGTGGCTGCCCCTCGTCCAGGCTGAGGTCCAGGCTGTCGGTGCTGAGGTCGGAGGGGTTTTGGCGGAAGCTCTCCGGTTCCTTCAGCGTGGCCTTGGGGGCCGGCAACTTGCCGAGCTCCCGAAGCTGCTGGTCGGCAAACTCCAGCTGGGGGGAAGCAGGGAGAGGTGGGTCCACTCTTACAGCGAGGAAGAGGAAGGCGTAGAGTTGGGTTGTGCCTACCTGTGCCTCCAGACTGCGGACCTGCCCGCTCAGCTCCCTGCAGCTCAGCTCGGCCTCCTTGGCCTGCAGCACGCTCTGCTGCAGCTCCTTGGCCAAGCGCTCCGACTCCGTCCTCAGCTCCGCGTTCTCCTTCTGCAGCTGCTCCATGGCCTTCAGCTTCTCTGCCAGGTCCTGGTTCTGCTGCTTCTTTGCGTCGTAGTGAGTTTTTGCCTTTTCCATCTGAGAAGAAGCAGAAGGTGAAGGAAAAAATCAGCAGCCCGTCGAGGTTCCCCCACTGAGCGCAGGGATGGCGACGGCTTGCAGCGGCTCACCTGGGCTTTGTAGTGCTCAGCCGCCTGCTCTTTCTGTGCCAGCTGCTCCTGCAGCTCAGCCATCCTCTCCTGCTGGCGCGTCGCCTCGCTCTGCAGCTCTCCTTCCAGCACCTGCATGGAAGGGATCGGATCAGACCCCCCCCCAGCTCCACAGCAGAGCCGCCCCAGCTGCCCCTACCCCCTACCCACCTTAACTCTCTGCTGCTGGCTCCGCGTGGCCTTCTCATGCTGTGCCAGCTTCTTGTTCAGCTCCTCCACCTGGCAGGGCACAGGTTGGTCACCCGAAGGCAGCAGGCAGGGAAGGAAAACTCTGCTGCCCCCTTCCCCTGGCCATCCCCTCGCACACCCGTGGCCGACGCAGCCGTCTCCAGCGCCAACTGTCCACAGTGGGATCAAGCAGCGGGAGGAGGCTCAGCCCCAAATGGTTTTGCCGTGCCAAAGTTCAGCGCGTTGCCCCAGGGGCTGTCACCTCCCCAGGGACGAGGGAGCATCCTGCGAAACCTCTAGGCTGGGGACAGGGATGGGGGCTTTGTCCCCACAAGGTGGGGCAGGGGATGGGGGTGACCCCGTGAGGACCAGCCCCACGTTGGCCACGTCTGCTCGAGCAGCAGCAGTTCCCCAGAGGTTGGCTCTGAGATCAAGTGCTGCGTTACAAAATCAAATCAAATCAAATAAAAAAACACCCGCAATCCAACGCCTCCACCTCAATGCGTGAGGGTGGAAGGGTGAGAAACTCTGTTCCTCCTCCCCGTGGGGTAAACATGAGAGCCCAGAGACCTGGAGCTGGGAACACCCCGCTGCCATCAGTGGGTAAGGAGGCAGCAGCTCTGCTGGCAGGCGGATGGGGCCGCGCACCGTCACCGTTTAAGCAGCTGACACTCCATGTGTGTTACCTGCTTTGCTTGTTCTTTCTGAAATACCTCTAGCTGCTCCACCTGTGGCAAGCACAAAGGAAAGGGTGAACACATGGCATGCGCAGGGCACTGCTCCCTGCAGGTGTGCAGCCCCCCAGCTCCCATCCAGAGGGGCCCAAGGGAAGGGTTTGTAGGGTTGTGACGAAATCAGGGCTTCCCCTATGCCTTAATGAATGTTGGGCCTTAAGATAACCCCCCTACTTAGGAACAGGGATGGGGTGGGAGCAAAGACACCTGGGGTTGGTGAACCTGGGCCCTAAGACAGCCCCTGGCTTAGGAATGGGGATGGGGTGGGAGCAGAGCCCTGGCTCTAAGGGCTTTTGGGAAGCTCACGGGCAACCAACTCAGCAGGAAGCCACCGCAGCCCTGAGCAGAGCCAGCAGAAACGAGTGACACGGAGCCCACGTGCCCCCCCCCACAGCACAGCCCCATCCCCATTGCTCTGCCCCAAAACCCACGTCGTGCACCCGCACCACGGAGCTCCGCCAGCCCCTACCTGCGCCATCAGCTTCTGCCTCTCCTCCTGGAACTTCTGCCTCTCCTCCAGCACCTTCACCTTGGCGTTTTCATACTTATTGCTCATCGCCTCCAGCTTCCTGGCCGCCTCCTCGGCCTCCTGCTTGCTGTTGGCCATCGCCTTCTCCGCCTCCAGCTTCACGCACTCCAGTTCCCGTGTGTGCTTCTCCCTCACCTGCCCCAGCTCAGCATCCAGGCGCTGCTGCCCGCGGCTCACGCTCTCATTCAGCGCACGGTTCTCCTCAGCCAGCCGGCCGTTGGCTGCTTGTAGGGCTGCCAGCCTCTCGCTGGAGCTCGCTGCCTCCTTCTGCAGCCGCTGCAGCGCACGCTCCTGCTCAGCTGCTCTGTCACGCAGGGCCGGCAGCTCGGCCACCTCCAGCCTGGCCCGGGCCAGCTCTGCCTGCAGCGCATTGGTGGCCTTCGCCCTCTGCTCCAGGTCCTCGCGGTGCTTGCTCTCCAGCGAGGCACGCTCGGCTTGCAGCTGCTGGCAGAGGTGTTTCAGAGGCACCACCTCTCCGGCCAACGCCTGGGCACTGCCCAGCTCCTGCTGCAGGGAGGAGAGGAGCTGCTCCTTCTGGAAGAACTTGTCCTGGCAGACCTTCACCTCCTGCCGCAGCTCCTCCTCGCGCTCGCT